AAAAATGTAATAGGTTGACAAGATGATTTTCTAATTTCTAAAAAAAAAAACTAATATTATAATATCAAATAAAATGCTATTTGTGTTAAATTGAAAATGAAATAGAACCATTTGAAGACAGCAAATTATGACTTATCTTACACTCTAAGATCTCATCTAATTTGCATGAAATGAGGGAAACATTTTCTCCCTAATAAAATTTCATAGTTTGTTCCAAAATTCTGTCTTAATTATAGTGATTTATAAATGTAAAATATTATGTAGACCTTATGAACTAATATGGCTCTTAATTGAACTACTATGCTGATTTAAATTGTTTCCGTGATTTAATCGTTTCTGCATGTATCATTATGCATTACACTTGTTACAAAGGTTTGAGATTCAGGCTAAACAGTGAGAATGTGCAGTATTCCTGAGCGAAAGATTATCCCATATGAATCTGCCATAGTTGAATCAAAGGATTATTAATTACAAAGAAATTTAAGTATAAAACTCCTGTAAACACATTGAAGTGTTATAATAATAATAATTGTAACTAAAAAGTGATTATAATGATTTTTTATTTATTAAAATTAGGACATCGGTCAGTGAAACCTGTGAATACACCCTATACATCAAGATAGGCAAAATTTCTCTGACAATTAAGTTGACCTTCATGTTTAAGGAAAACTATATCCTTAAAACAGATTTGTATATACTTTATATGAACATAAATTCAAAAAAGATTATTCAAAAGGCAAAGCAAAGTGTGGTTCTGGTAAACCAGATTTTAAGAAAAGTTCACACTTAAAAATACAGCTAGTTGTATTATGTGTTTCTAGGCAGGAAATTACAGTATCCTCAAAGTGCTCACCCACCTGTCACACAGGGATATTGCATTCAGGATAATTGGCAGTCAAAACCAGGAAAAGAAAAAACAAAAAGAGCAAGGAGGAGTAAGAGCTCTGACATTCTTTGTCCACAGCAACAGTGTCTCCAGAGAACATCCTTTCTAAACATCCTTTCTTCCTAACTCTGCATTTGCACCTGAGAAGAGTTCTCAGGGAGTGAATCTAGGTGATATGGTGCCAAAAGTGTGTAGCAAAGACTGGGTTAAGGATTGAAAATCGATTCCTTTTCTCAGGAGTCAAAGAGGAGGTCAGTTCTAAAGCTAAAGATTAATGGAATTCACAGAAGAAGAGCTGGCTTTAGTTTCTTTGGTGAAGATAGTAGGGATAATCTAAACACCCCATCCCTGAGAAACAATGAGAACATTACAAGCTATGATACGTTAAGATAGCATGACAAATTGTAAACAAAGTGCCTCATCTGATTTCATTTTTATACAGCTCCTTGGACAGTTTAAAATATTTCACAGGTTTTCTAATTAAATATGTTCTTAGCCAAGAACACACACATACATATTTACTACCAATAGTAAAAAAAAAACAAAGTAAAAAAAAATTATCATAGCACTGTAGTAATCTAGAGTTACTTATAATAATGTATGCATCTGGAATCCATTAAAAGGATTTTTGGAAGATAGTTCTTTTTCTACTTTCTCTTAAAATTCCGAAAACTAAAAATTCCTATTTAGTATTCTTTTCAGAAGATGTCTGATCTGCACTTAGAGAAAATTTCATCCAAGATTTTTAAGATCTCTACTATCATTTCTAATAGAAATGATAATGCTATGCCTCCAGTAGGTGTGTTTTTTTAAAGAAGACTCCCATTCCTTCTCACATACAGAAAAAAATTTGAATTACATTTAGTTCTGAATTCTAATAGCTGTGTAGGCAAGTAAGTTCTGACATAGAGTAAAATAACCACAGTGCTAAGATGACAGACTCATTCACATCAGAAAATGTAAATGTTTCCTTTTTCCACACTAGATGTTTTGTGTTTTTTTCTTTATCTCTTCAAAGATCTTCAAACAGAAACTGTCCATATTTTAAGAAATTATGCATATTCATTGCTTCTAAAAGCTGATGTGGGCAATGCATGAAGTTAGGTCATATCTTTGGAATGCTAATATTAATACACTCAAAAATTAGTCCTGCTTAATGTTCATTATTCTTAGATATTATCAATTAATGTAATAGATTATTCAAATCAAAGCATAGGTTACTAGTCTGATAAGATGCTTCAGCAAAATAAACATCAAAAGTAATCTCAAGTCTCTTTAGTAAGCAAGTGTAGAAATTATTTTCCTACTGTAAGAAAACTGCCAGGTCATAAAATATTAATATAATGATGCAACATGATATTAGTATGTGCTTACTACTGCGATTTAAATTTATTTTGAAAGGAAAGTGTTAGCTATCCATGCTCATTATTTTTTATTTAAGTGCATTTAATAAACAAAAACTGCATGTGTTTATGTGTTGACATGATGCAACGTGATCATTCTGAAATGGTTGCATCAGGCTAAAATATATCACTCCATATATCTTCAAATATCTTATAAGACTTTTCTTTTCAAAAATATTTATTTGCTTACTTGAACAGAGAGAGAGAGACACACACACACAGAGGAAGACTGTCCATCTATAGGTTAATGCCTAATGACAGAAACACCTTTATCTGCAGCTGGAGAAACCCAGGGGCCAAGAGCTTCTCCAGGTCTCTCACAGGGATGGCAGGCGCCCAACCTGTCACTGCTTTTCCAGGCCATTAGCAGGGAGCTGTATCAGAAGTGGAGCAGCTAGGGTTCAATCATTCTGCCTTCATGGGATGCCGGCATCACTGGTCCTTACTCTATGCGTTTTTGGCCTTCAGAGAACTTCATCATTAGTAGGTTCTCAGCTGAGAATCCATTCAGAGACAGCTTATGTTATATTCAATGCTTGAAAAATTGTGTGATCTCAAATTCATGTTAAAGTCTTACCCCTAGGGATTGTATTTGAGATGGGAAGAGATAAGTGTGAAATAATGAGGCTGTCATGATGGGCCCTGATTTAGAATGACTGGTGTTCTTCTGGGAAGAGGGGATTAATCACAGACCCAGAAGGAAGACCATGTGAAGACAAAATGGGAAGGTTGCTTTCTCCAAGAGAGCACTTGGAATGAAGCAACTTTGCAAACACCCTGATCTTGGAATTGGGGCTTCTAGAACTATGTGAAAATACTTTTCTCTTCCTTTGAGTTATCTAGGCTGAGATTCTTTTGTAACTAAAATCTCAGCAAATTAAGTCCCTGCCATGCTCTCCTTGAGAAGCCAACATGATTGAGCTGACTAATCAAGGTTCCTACATGTGAATTTAAAATCCGATAACCAGACACTGAATAAAAGGTTATACTAAAATAGCTTTAGAAAAAAATATACAGTATAAGATTTGTAATAAATACATATAAAATGCACACACAATCCTGTGAATTTCAGAAAATTTGTAGAGTCTTATGCCATGGTTTAACAGGCTAACCATCCATGCTGTGTGACTAGCATCCCATATGAGCACTAGCTTATGTCCAGGATGCTCTATTTCTGATAGAGCTCTCTGATAGTGGCCCAGGAAAGCAGTGGTGGATGATCTAAGATCTTGGGACTCTGCACCCATGTGAGAAATTCAGAAGAGGTTCCTGTCGCCTGGCTTTGAATCAGCTCAGCCCTGGCTGCTGTGACCATCTGGGGAGTGAACCAGCAGATGCAAAAGCTCTCTGTTGTTCTTTCCAGCTGTAAATCTGCCTTTCAAATAAAAACATAGAAAGTTTTTAAAAAGTCATGTAAAGCAGCATTTTAAAACAAATTTATTTTCTGTGTCAAAAATTGTCCACTTATATAGCAGATCTTCAGTTAATAGAAAAAGCACACCATTGTAAAACTATGTATAGATTTCAAAAATTTTGCAGCAAAATATGATTTAAAAGTTAGATTTTATGAGATTGATAAAATATCCTTATATATGAGTATATACATTTGCATGTTATACACTATGCACCAATATCATCTTGATTTAGGTGTTGTGTATTTTACAAAAGTGTAAATTATAATGTCTATCCTGTAATTATTTACTAACTATGGAAAGAATATATCACATATGAAAGAAAAATAAACCTATAAGGCAGTATAGATCCAGTACTCATTTGAATGTCACAAATTGTAAGTGCTATAGGAATTATGGATGATGGGTTCTGGGTACATTGCCACTTGGCTGAAATAAAAATAAAGCGCCACACCAACACAGCTGTGTGTTGTCTCCCGAGGGAGTATAGGAAGATGCTGTGATTCTATAGATTTTACTTTAGAAAGTTATATGTAAGAAGAGTATGAATTTTAAAGACTTCAATAAGAACAGATTCTGATACAAACATTATGAACATGAACAAATGGTTTTGAGTAATTATTATACCTGAAGATTTGTTCAAAATTTTGTATAAGTATTATATATATACACATATATATATTTATAAATATTTATGTATACGTGTTTGCAGGAGCTTCTTGAAAAAAACAAACACAATGTAGATGATTTAAATGTGTTTACATTTATTATATTGTAGTTCTGGTGGGTACAAATCTGAAATTGTGAGCTTCCAGACCATGCTCCCTGTGAGAACCCAAGTACAATTCTTTCTTGCCACTGCGGAGCTCCTGAAGTGGCCTTCATTCTGTCCTTCATGTGGCTTGCAACTGCGTTATTTCCAGCCTACACCTCCAACTTCGTGTGGCATCTCTCTTCAACTCATTACACTGGTGATACTGCACCAAGGACACTGTTAGCACTGGATTATGGCACAAGCCGCTCAGTATTCCCTCATCTTAGTTACCTGCATTTTCTATTCTGTTTCTGAACAAGGTCACATTCTTAGGTTTCAAGACCACCGTTCTCCAATCATTTGGGGAGATGCAGTTCAATCCATACATATATTGTTGTGGTAGGAACATTTAATATCCTACGGGTACATTCTTATTTTTTTTTTCAAAAACTAGTTTTGCAGAGAAAAAGAGACACAAAGAGAAAAATCTTCCAACCACTGATTCACTCCCCAGATAGCCGCAATGGCGGAGCTAAGCCAAGAACCAGGAACCTCCTCTGGGTCTCCCACATGGCTACAGGATCCTAAGGCTTTGGGCTATCCCCTACTGCTTTCCCAGGCCACAAGCAGAGAGACGAATGGGAAGTGGAGCAACTGGGACACAAACTGGAGCCATTATTTGATCCTGGCGCATGCAAGCCAAAGACTTTAGCCACTAGGCCGTTGCATTGGGCTCTACATTCTTAATTTTTAAAGTGTAACATATGGTAGAATTCAATGGGCATGATTTTGTACAAAACTCTTAAGTCTTGTAGAACTGAAATGTTTTATTCAATGAATAAAAATGTCCTACTTATTCTCTATCCTCAGGCCCTAAAACACCCATTCCACTCTTCATTTCTGTGAGTTTGACCGTCCGATCCCTCTTGTAATTGAAAGTCTGCAGTGTTTGCCCTAGTTGATATCAGTCAGCATGGAGGCCTCCAGGCACATTCATCTGTGGTAGGATTTCCTCCTTTTAAAGGACTGAGCCATATTCCATTCAAAATATATATTACATACACTTATGTATGTGTTATTATGTATTATATATTTAAATAAAGGGAACAGATTTTATATTTTTTTCACATAAACAGTTTTAAGAGCATGGAGGTTTGGGCTAGGGAGACGGCTCAGCTGTCTAATTCTCAGCTGTCATTCTCAGCTGAAAATGCCGACACCCCTCATGGACGCCCATTCATTTCCCGCAGCTCCAGCTCTAATCCAGCTCCCTGTTTTGTCATTGAAGGCTTTTGCCTCCTGGTTTTCCATCGGCTCAGCTCTGCAGCTGTGATTAGGGAATGAGCCAGCAAATGGAAGACCTTCTCTGCAATTCTCATTCTCTCTGTAAACTTGCCTTTCAAATAAATCTGAGTGAATCTTTAAAAAAAAAAGCATACTGATACTTTCCATGTTCCCCCATTCTTTTCATCTTCTTTCCTTTTTTACTTTTAATTTTTTCTGATAAAATGTTTTGGTTACTTCATATTGTTGCGCTTGATCCTCTACCAAATAAAAAACTCAACAAGTAATAAGCAGAAAACACTTTGTTCATCAAGAATACAAAGGCTATAAACATTGAACATATCTCAAAATGTCACATTAATTCATGTATATTACATTTTGGTGCTAGGTATATTTAGGTACCACAAGTCAGAAAAAAACAGGGTACTTGTCTTTCTGCACTGGCTTACCTTCAGATGGATTTTACACTTTCTTCCTTGTTTTAGCTGTTACAAATAGCACAGCAATAAATAGAGCACAAATATATCCTCAAGATTCTTATTTCAATTATTTTAGACAAATGTTCAAAAATGTTATCACTAGGGGCTGGTACTATGGGGAAGTAAGTTAAGTCATTGCTTGTAACAGCTGCATTTGTACATTTCAGTAGTAGCTCAGTGGCCAGCAGTTTTTTAAATTCTGTTTCATTCTAGTGTGCCTGAAAAAAGGAAATGCTGACCCAAGTTCTTAGGTCCGTGACACACCCATGGGAGACCTAGGTGGAGTTTCCGTTCATGGCTCTGGTTTGGACAAACCCTGCTGTTGGGGACATTGGTATTAAGCCAGTAATTGTTGGGTTTCTCTTTCTCCTTCTCTTTTTGACCCTCATCCTTTCTCTGTAACTGAGCCTTTCAAATAAAATTAAAAGTTTAAAAAACAAAAAAGTAGTTCCTGGCTCATATGGTGAGTCTTTGTAATTTTTTTTCCGGAAATTCCACATTATTTTTCACAGGGACTCATGTTTTACTTTTGCACCAGCAGTGTGCATGGCTTTGAATCTGCCAAGATCCCTGCCAACATGCCTGTATTGGGTTAGAATACTTCTGTTACATATTCAATGGAAATGAATCAGTATATCCAACAGATATCTGCATTCCCAGGTTTATCACATTATTCACAGAAGCCTGTATAGAGTCAACCTAATTTCTCTGCCACAGGTTAATGGCTATAGATCACTTTATATGCTACAAATGGAATGAAATTCAGCCATATAAAATAATAAAATCCTGTCATTTGTGAAAAATTGGATAAATCTAGAGGACATCGTATTAAGTGCAAATCATCCACACAGGCAAACACTATGTCATTGCATGTATAAGTGGATTCTAAAAAAAAAAAAAATGACTGCTTACAATTTGAGAGTAGCGCTTGGCACTACAGCTTAGTGGCTAACTCCCAGCCCTGCATGTGCCAGGATCCCATAAGGGACCCGGATCATGTCCCAGCTGCTGCACTTCCCATCCAGCTCCCTGCTTGTGGCCTGGGAAAGCAGTTGAGTTCAGCCTAGAGCCTTGGGACCCTGTCTGTACCCACATGGTAGACACAAAAGAAGTTCCTGGCTCCTGGCTTTGGATAGGCTCAGCTTCAGTCGTTGGAGCCACTAGGAGAGTCAACCAGTGGATGGAAGATCTTTCTGTCTCCCTTTCTCTCTATGTATCTGCCTTTCCAATTAAAAAAGTTCTTAAAATGAAAAAGAATTTGAGAGTAGAACTGTGCTTCCCAGCAGCAAAAGTGGTGAAAGAGTTTGGGTGATGTTTAAAGGAGAAAGAGAACTTCTGTTGTTTGTTTTTATGGTAGTCATCCCAAATGGTGTAAGATAATTTTAATTTGCATTTTCTTCATAAATTGGTGATTTTGAACATCTTTTCAAAGACCTATTGGGCATTAAGAAAACAGACATCCTAACTTTGTGATGATTGATAAGATTTAGCACAGTACACAGTGTAAACTTCCAATGCACAATTTATGCAGCCAACATGCCTGGCTCCCAGCATTGGTCTTTTGCTTTGCTTCTTCTTTTCCTGTTTCTTGATACTTTTTTTTTTTTTGTTCTGTAAAATGAGATGACCCCAGAGCTCACCTCATTTGCTGTTGTGATGCTGGCGTTGGTAAAGCTGAGGTCCTGTACACACTGAGGGTCTCCGTATGATTTCACTGCTACACTGCCAAGGAAAAATTCCTGAAATTTTTTGAATGTTGGCACCCTACTTCACAAAGAAATTCTTACTTAGGAATAACAAGTGGCAAACCTAACATCACACAGAAACCACATTGGATATCATGAAACCCAGATGACCGGGTCAGGGTTAGGTCCTGGTTAGCCTTGAATGCAACTTCATGGTGCAGCAGGCACTGTTCTAGCTCAGGACATACTAAAATTCAAGAGAAAACTGTATTGGAAAAATTGCCTTAGATAGGTGACTCTCTAATGTTGGTTACCTATATTCTTAATATTTTCAAATTTGTTACTATTATTATCATTTTATGAGACAGTTTCCATAGGCTCCTGGGATTTCCCTTATTCTTTCCCCAGTCCCCCCCTCTCACCTAGTTCCCCTATATCATTACTTAACATATAGTTCTTCATACACAGTCATATGTCCATCATTGCGGGCATGGACAATGGCAGAGAGTCCAGAATCCTATTGTCAAGATATAGTAAACAGTTTCATTGGAAGTCCATCTTTCTCTGGAAGCAGAGATGCAAACTACACTGTATCCTCACATCTGGATATGTTAGTCTCCATTTCAGTTACTATCCATCCCCTTAAATGAAAAGTCACTGTACAAAATCAACAATAGGAAGAAAAATAGAAATATACAATGCCATGAAGTTATATAACATTGTTGCTAGATATGACAGTCTCCATTACACAGCTACTATTCATCCCCTTAAAAGAAAAGGCACAGAACAAAATCAACAACAGGAAGAAAAAAGAAATTAACAACACCGTGAAGTTAAATAAGATACTACTGAATGACTAATGTGTTGCTGAAGAAATGAAAAAGGAAAATCAAGAACCTTCTTGAAGAAAATGATGCTACTGTATGATCAATGAGTCATTGAAAAATTTCATCAGAGGAAACTGCTCTGATGACATATAATTAACAAAAACAAAAAAATCAAAATCCATGAGATATAGACCTTGACTAGAGTTACAGTTTCTGGATAGAATATGAAGCTTATAATTTTTAAAATTTCCTCCTTGAAAATCCTTTCATGGAATAATTTTAAATTTTACACTAGGGTGATCCACTGACACTCATTGGTTTTCCTCTTAGTGGTTCTTCCTGTCTCTGTAAAGTTCAGGCTCTAATGGGGAATAAGATTCTCCAGTCCTTGCACATCACCACTTTGTAAGTGACTTTTTTTCCTCTCTTTGAACAAAGAGAAGGGTACATTTGCATTTGAACTTAACAACAGAGGAGAGAAATAAAAAGAAACTCCAGAATGCAAGCAATGTTCTCTAGAGAGTTTCCACACCATCTTCAAATATAGCAAATGTTTTAAATAAATAAATGAGTATATGATAAAGAGAAATGAACATTTTTCAACCAGAATGACATCAAAATTCTTGCAAAGTGACCCAGAGCACTTAGCCACGTCTATGATTTTCACTTTTCCATTATAAAATAAAATTATTGAGAGGATCATATTAAATATGATTAAGACACTTTCAAAGTAAGATTAATACATTCACCAAATATTCCTTTTTAAAAGAATACATTGTACTTTGATTTGAAAGACAATTATAGAGAGGGAGACAGAGAGATCTCCATTCCCTTGTTCCCCTCCTCCCCAAATAGCTTCAACTGCTGATGCTAACCCAACGTGAAGCCAGGAGCAAGCTCCTTCTGGGTTTTACTTTTGAATTCTGGGTCCCAAGAACTTGAGCCATCTTCTTTTGCTTTTCAGTCCATAAGCAGGGAACACGATGGGAAATGTAGCAGCTAGAACACAAACTGGCACAAACTGACATCACAAGGCTGATCTTGGCCTACTATGCAAAGACACAAATCCCATTCTTTCCTTTTTTAAAAAGATGTATTTATTTATTTTAAAAGCAAGTTACAGAGGGAGAGAGAGAGTGATCTTGCTTCTGCAATTTAGCTCCCCAGTGATCTCAAAGACTGGAGTCAGGATACACTGAGGCCAAAACCATCAAACCCCATTGATGTCATCACATGGACTGAAGGGCTTAGACTATCTTCAACGCTATGCTATGTGCTTT